GAGAGAGAGAGAGAGAGAGAGAAAGAACACATGCCAGGCAAGCCACTCCCACCACGTCACCTGGACGGCAAGCCACTCCCACAAAGGAGGACACACCCACAGAGTAGGATACAAAAATTTTTGAAACCCACCACTGGGTGGGGGGCTTCCCGCAGCAGGATATGCTCATTCGACTTTCCAAGCAAGGAGACCAGATTTTTTTTTTTTTTTGCAAATTTCAAAAGTCTCTGTTCAGACAACTTGTTGACTCTCATAAATCCATAGGGGTGGTTTTCTTGCCAATGGCATGGTAATGGTTTGGTATGACCATTTTTCTTAAATGTTTCATTGCTTCTCAATCTGATCTGTGGCCCCAGGGATGCCTTAATCTGTACATGCCTAAGGCTGGTGTGAAAATCTACCTTGATCAAGCCAGGCGTTGCTAGAACACGATGTTCATCTAAATTTATATCTAGGTTTGCTTTGCTTCTAATCTATCTATAATGGTAGATGAAAGTAACTTTGATTCCCCCAGATATATTAATATCTGATAGTGTCTATATATTACATATAGGCAAATATTTCTGGGAATGTCAAGATGCTGACTCTTAGGCCAGGCCAGACCAGAATAATAGAGGGAGCTTGGAGGTCTTCTGGTCCAGCCCCTTGCTCAAGCAGGAGACCCTTATACCATTCCTTGTACCATTCAGACAAACGAGTGTCCAGTCTTTCCTTAGAAGTTTCCAGTGTTTGAGCATTCACAACTTCTGGAGGGAAGCCATTCGACTGATTACTTGTTCTAACTTCCAGAAAATTTGTCCTTAGTTCTAGGTTGGATCCCTCCTTGATCCATTTCCATCTGTTGCTTCTTGTCTTGTTAAGATGTTCTGAATCTTAAACTTGCACAAGAAGGATGGACTACTTCTTAATAGGACTCTCCTTAAATCGGTGGGGAAGTTCAAAGTGTTGAGGATATTTGATAAACACAAGTTACGTCTCCACGTTTTACAGCCCTTAGTTTTACAGTCAAGAAGAAACACGGTTTAGCAAACTAATCATACAGATGTCAATGGTCTGACTAGCCACCCCCAGCAGTGCAATTCAATTTTTTTACTATCGGTTCTGTGGACGTGGCTTGGTGGGCGTGGCAGGAGAAGGATACTGCAAAATCTCCATTCCCACCTAGAGGTGAGTTGCTCCTGATGCGGCCCGGTGTGGCCAAATTGGTAGTGGTATTCTGGCCTGGGTCACAGAACCAGCAACGCCCCAGGCTGGCCATGCCCGCAAACTGGTTCCCCGGTTGCCGCTGATGCTGCCATTGCCGGCATGTTGCTTAGTAGTGCGTGTGCATCCACAGTTAACTGTAAATTGTCTGCCCACGAGTGAAGCGAACCAGTAGTAAAACCAGGAGCAACCCACCTCTGTTCCCACCTCACTCCAGGGGAAGGATACTGCAAAATCCCCATTCCCTCTCCACTCCTGGGGGAAGGATATTGCAAAATCTCCATTCCCACGTACTTGCATGGTTAAACAATAGCTTCACCCTTTCTCCACCCATGTATGTTCTCACTGTCCATGAATGGTCCTTTTGTTTTGAGAACAGTCCACTTCTTTGTCAGATACCTGCAGCAGTGACCTTGGTGGGTTCTTGGCTCTCACAGTGTATTCCCTGGAGCCTCTGCCTTCTTTCCTACACTTCCTCCCCCCAGTTCTTTGTCATGTTGAATAGTGATAAGACTCGATAACTTTCAAAAGCGGTTCAATCATGACAGCAGATGTGTCGTAGACCACAGGACAGGTTTATAAGCTTTGAAGATTCAATTGTTTGATTTCATGTGTCTTCCTGCCAGATCCTGCCACCAAGAACTTGGAAATGAAGGACACCATGTCTTTGGTTGGTGCTTACTACAGTGGGAAGTCAGTCCTTGTTACAGGAGCAACGGGGTTTATGGGGAAAGTCCTGGTCGAGAAGCTTCTCCGGTCTTGCCACGACGTGAAAACCATCTACATTTGTGCGCGGGCCAAAGGTGGACGTTCCATGCAAACCAGAGTGGAGAATCTGCTGCAATGCAAGGTAAGGAAATTCGAGGGTGGACAGAAATGGGTAGCAGCTGGTAGGGTTTTGCCACAGGTTCACTGCAGAGGTAGTATTCAACAGGTTCTGACCAGTTCTGGAGAACCGGTAGAAGACAGTTTGAGAAGTTCGGAGAACCGGTAAATACCACCTCTGGCTGGCCCTGCCCCCATCTATTCTCTGCCTCCCGAGTCCCAGCTGATCAGGAGGAAATGGGGATTTTGCAGTATCCTTCCCCTGGAGTGGGTTGGATTGGGAATTTTGCAGTATCCTTCCCCTGGAGTGGGGTGGCAATGGGGATTTTGCAGTATCCTTCCCCAGGAGTGGAGAGGGAATGGGGATTTTGCAGTATCCTTCCCCTGCCATGCCCACCAAGCCACGCTCACCAAGCCATACCACTGGCAAAGGGCTGCAGCATTGTGGCCGAAAAGGAGCTCAAGGGGCCTCGTTTTGCTGGCAGAGCACTGGGACCATCACAGGCACCCCCGACACAAGTGACGTCAAGCTGTCCATGGCCATCCCGGCCCCCGATGTCAAACACAACCCTGATGCAGCCCTCATTGATATTGAGTTTGACACCCCTGCTCTCTCTGCTAGCATTTGATGCCACCATTAATAATATCAAACAAATTAATTCCTGGTGTCTATGGAGATTCTCAGTCATCCAGGTCATGGTTGCCCCAAAGGTGCTTTTTCAAGAGGCAACCGGACTTCCTGTTAACAAGAAAGTCCAAAGCCCTCTTGAAAAAACACCTTTGGTTTCATTCAACCTTAGGAAACTTAACATTTTCCTTTTTTGTTAAGTGAATATTCTCTGTTGCACTCCAGGTGTTTGATAGAGTCCGGGAAGAGTGGCCCAATTTCCATGAGAAGATTAAGCCCATCAGTGCTGAGTTCACCCAGCCAAACCTGGCTATCCCTTCCGAAGACATGGAGGAGCTGCTCTCTGAGGTCAACGTGATCTTCCATTGTGCAGCCACAGTTCGGTTCGATGAGCCCCTGAAGTAGGTTCCCCTTGCTCTCCCCTTGGGTGTCTTGCCCTCCAGCCCCAATCATATTTTCTTGAAAGGAGATATGAGTAAGTGCATCAAGCCATTCTCAAGAATTAGGGCTACATCACTTTGAAGAAGACCATAGTGGAGTGCAGCCATTATTTACAACACAGGCAGGGTGGGCTGCTACAGGTTCGCCCGAGTTTGGAAGAACCTGTAGCTAACATTATGGCCAGTTCGAAGAACATCCAAATCCCACTCATGGCTGGCCCCGCCCACCCCTCCCCTCCCAGGAGTCTCCACGCAGCCCGTTTTGAATGCGAGGTAAGTGCAGCACCCACATGGAGGCTCTAGGAAAGTTCCAGAAGTCTGGAAACGGGCCTGTTTCCAGCCTCCACAGGGCCTCTGGAGCATGGGAGAAGCAGTTTTCACCCTCCCAGAGGCTCGAGGAAAGCCTCTGGAGCCTGGGAAGGGCAAAAATGGCCCCTGGCAGTAGTGCAGGAAGCCAACTAGGCCTTTCCACCATGGTCACACCCACCCATCAACCAGGCAGCGAACCTGTTGCTGAAATTTTTGAAGCTCAGCCCTGAACACAGGTAATCCTCAATTTATAACCATAATGAAGCCTGGAATTTCTGGGGTAAGTCATGATGGTCATAAGTCAAGGCACTCAAATGACAAGGCCCGGTTTTATGACCTTTGCTGTGGTCATGTGACTTTTGATGTGTGTGCATCCATTGGGACTCCAGAACTAGGTTGCAAGTAGCGTTTGTCATAACTTTGAATGTGCACTAAGCGACTAGTTATAAATTGAAAACCTTGTGTAAAAAGGTTAGAAGAGATCCATAAAGTGTACCGTATTTTTCGGACTATAAGATGCACCTTTTTCCCTCAAAAAAGAGGCTGAAAATCTGGGTGCGTCTTATACACTGAATACAGCATTTTTTGCCTCCCGAAACCCCTCCCCCTTCATCGAAATGACCACGCAGAGCCTTTAGGA